CATCCCTAGCCCTTTTTATTTTGAGACAGGATCTCCCTAAGTTGCTTAGGGCCTCACTAGGTTGCTGAAGCTGGCTTTGAATTTGCAATCCTCCTGCCTAAGCTGGAATCACAGGTGTATGCCACCGCATCCAGCTTGATGCCACAGTTTTGATGGGAATTTTGCTTTCTTGTCTTTGAAGTCAACCTGAAAATCACTGGTTCAGAAAAGAGAGTGATTATTTCTGGCTCTGAGGTGATTGGTGAAGACTTGATGGAAGAGTTGCTTAGAGTTTTGTAGATTTTAAGATAATTCTGAAGGTGGCCAAGTGTAAATCTGAATGAACAGAGGCAGTAAAGAGGAGATGGGCTTATGAAACAGGTTTGAAGCTATTCAAAGTAAGGTTGGGTGGAGGAGAATAGACAGCCAAGGTGAAGGACCCTGGAAGCCAAAATCAGGAGCTTCAACTTCTGAGAATGACAAACCATTACAAGGGACAGGAGAAGTGATATGTTGAAGAAAGATAGTGCTTTAGGAAAATGAATCTGGGAGTACTGGAAGGTAAATTGCAGGTGGGAAAACTAAGAGGCTGTTGAAGTTTATAGTATATTTGTATTTTGTTTCTGGTTATAAAATAATTTGATCTTTCATCAAAAGCCATATAGATTGTTGGCTTTTTGGAGAGTTATTTTGATACTCTTGTTTTTAGTGATACTCCTGAACCAATTAAAAAATTGACAATCCTAGCTGGGCATGGTGGCACATGACCATAATCCTAGCTAATAGGGAGGCCAAGGCAGGAGGATGGCAAGTTTGAGGTCAGCCTTGGCAACTTAGTGAGACTTTATCTCAAAATAAAAATAAATAAACAAATAAGAACTGGGGTTCTTTTAGTTGGGAAATAGGTTTCAATGTGGTCTGTGATGTGGTAAAATTAAATCAAGCACTGAAAGTATACCGCCTTCCATAGGTGACTGGAACCCTTTCCCAGGCACATTAGAGTGGTTGGTTTAACCTCACAGAAATTTCAGGGTCAAAGACTATGGGCTGAGAATTCTCACAATAAGCAGCTAGAACTCCAGGCACATGGTCAGGAATACCTACTTTGCCTAGCCTACAGCTATTTATCCAGTCCTCTTAGTGGTCTATACCAGTTCAGGGAGAGATGAATATGGTGACCAAAATCTCTGCTCCTTTCAGCCTCCCTGAGGGGACTGCTAATAGTTGGTTAGTTTTATGAACAGGAGCTTCTCTCCCTTCTTCCCTTCCTCATTGTTTCTTGCTTTGTAGGATCGGGGACCATGGCCCCTCAAACAAGCCAAAGTGGTCTTTTTATCCACTTTCATTCTTTTCTATAATTCATCTTAGTCACCCTGGTGTCAGAGGATATAGGCTTCATGGAGAAATAGAAGAAATAAGAAAGAGAAAGAAAACTACATTTCTTCTGGATCCTGAGAGGTAGCTGCTATGGTCTTGGACTGTGGTTTCTCTGAAGGCTTTTTTATTGAGGACCTGAAATCCAAAGGCTTCACTGTGGAGTCCAGACAGTGTATCTGCTCTCTGGATCTGTAGGTTCTGTATTTGCAGATTCAGCCAACTATGGATCACAGTATTCCGGAGGGAAAAATTGTGTCTGCACTGAACATTGTTTGGTAGGAAAAAAAGAAAGGTTTGTACAGACTTTTTTCCTTGTCATTACCTGAATAGTGCAGTATACTAATTATTTATATAGCATTTATGTTGTATTTGGTATTATATGTAAGCTAGAAATGTCTTTAAGTATACAGGAGAGTAAGCCTAAGTTAGATGCAAATACTATCCCATTTTATATAAGGATTTGAGCATTTTCAGACTTTGATATCCACAGAGGAACTGGAACTAGTCCCCACACACTCACAGATACCAAGGGATGACTGTAGGGAACCTTGGGAGGCACTCTATAGTCAGGGATACTGCTTGGGGACCCAGCCCACTTTGAGAGCATCTCTATATTCAAGGATAGCAGCAGGGAGCAGTGGCATGAAATGGACAAAGTGCTGCCACTTACTGTACAAGTGGCTCTTGCTGTGGTTTCTCTACTCCTATTCCCACAGAACTAGCCCAGAACTTGGACAGGAAAAGGGCGGAGAACTCAGGAGTTCTATAGACAACTGAAATTTTTCTCTGGCCTGAGAGAGACCACTCCCTTTCCTCAGCCTTCCTTTCCCCAGGGAAGATGGGCTTCCTGCCCTCTCAGTCTGGCTGAAGGATTCTTCCTCCATAGAAACCCACTTTGACCCAATTCAGGACTGACAAAAAACTGATGTATGTGAGAAGCCCAGTTCTGCTTCAGCTGGTAGACCTGAAGATCTAGGGAACTGAATCGAACTGTGTATTAGGAGGGGGACCTGCAGCCACATTGGTCCTAAGGCCCACAATCACTCTGTGCAGAAGCCTTCTTATAGCCCAGTCCTTTTAAATAGACCCCATCCATTTGCCTGAGGAGCCCCCAGGAAGCCTGGTGCTAAGATTGGTCAGGCATCCACAAGAACTGAGTTCCTTCTGATAGAATGGTCCCTGCAGCCTCCCTTCAGGACATCAGGAATCCCCTCCCAGACTGACTGCTCCACCCTAAGGCTAGTCTGGAATCCTAGTGAGAGGAATAAGCTGGAAAACAAGGAGCCATTCAAAATGGACAAAAAGCAGGGGTGGGGGAGAGGTTTCTGACTAAGGTCTGAAAGCAGGGCCAAAGGAAGGAAGCTCCCAGGCTCTGCCCAGGCTATTTCCCTGACACTCCTAAGAATTGCAGAGGAGTTAGGCCCAGGCCAGCTCTCCTTATTTTTCCTTTGCTGTATTGAGATCTTCCATCTTCCGGCACCGCCTACCCTCTGCAACTGACTTCTCTCTCCACCCTCCCGTTCCCTAGGCTAACAGGCCCAGAGGGACTGATGGGGAGGGAGGCTGAGTGGCTGTACTGTGGGCATGCCTGCTCCTTTCCCTCCCCCCTTCCCTTAGCAGCAACGTCACCCGCAGCACCAGTACCAGCAGCCGCGACAGCAGCAAGGAGACGGGCTGGGATTGCGCAGCCTCCCTGCATTAGCTAGGATGCCATTGTATTAGCAGAAATCAGATCTTAGGAAATCATCCCAGCTCTCCTCCACCCCACCCCACCCCTCTGTGATCCTGTGAACAATGCCTCAGCTGGAGCTGTCCAGGTAGACCTCGGTGAGAGTGCAAAAGGACAGGAGCCTCTTGGTCCAGCTCAAGGCTCTTTACAGAGGTATGGCTCAGCGGTACTGGGGGGAGGGGAGCGGCAGAGCCTAAGAATCTCTGATCAACATTTGGGCCCTGGCTTCTGAGGGTTGGCTTTGTCTGTGAAAGCGAGTGAGTATTAGCAAGTTCCAGATAAGCTCATCCGTGCATGCATTTGGCTACCATGCAGGAATGGGGAAGTGCAGAGGCTTGGGCTAATGCTATTATGCCATTTTGTCAAGAAGCAGAAGATCCTATGCTTCCTTTCTGGGCATTTGTAATGAAGCTGCTGTAGCCAATATAATCAGGATTAGGGGTGTTAGGTCTAGAAACAAAGGTTTAATGGGAGGAGACCCCTAAAGCTACTGTAAGTTTATGATGGAGACTATACTGGGATCCACAAAGCTTTCAAGAGGGGCTGGGCAGCCTTTTGCTTCACACTCATGTATATATGTGTGCACATAGACGCATGCACTGTCACTTTATCTTCTGGCACTGTGGGAGCCACTCAGCCCAAATTAAGAAAGAATGTTGACCAAAACCCCATAGTAGGGAGAGGGGGTGTGGGGGGAGAGCAGTTATTGTAATGATTCTTATAATCAGCCTTCTTATACAGACAGACTTAGCTTCTTCCTAGCAGAAAGAGACCAAAGCATAAGCTAAGTTAACATTCTCCAGTCCACCATCCTTCTCTCTTCCCTTTATCCCTGCCCTAGAGAAAACTCATTCAGGAAAAAGGCTCACCACAGGTCCTCAAGTCAAGGTCAGGTTGTTAGAGAATAGTGACAGTACATTACCCCACACACACACTCCCTTCCTTCAGGAGACCAAGAAAGAGGGAATGGGTTATAGCAGTATGTGAGGGAATGTGACTAGCAGTAGGATATTGATGACCAAAGACAGGGAAACTTTTCTTCTGAGGTTTTCCTGTTGCTGAGCAGGTAAAGAGTCCCTTAAATTTCTGTTTCCATTAACCACCTTGATTGAGAATTCAAAAACATGGTAATAGGAGACAAGCATTCCCTGGTGTGCAAATATGTGTTTGAGATATACACTGGAAACTCGTGGGAGTGTTTAGTTCCCAGAAAGTATTTAGGAATGAACAATAGAGCAGGGGAAAGGGGGATTGTGGGACCATGAATGGGGCAGGGAGACAAGGACTGGGAACTGGAGCGGGAAGGACAGGATTGAGGACTCTACAGAGTAGAAGAGCGTGGGAGCAGTAATAAGAAAGAGACTATGGGCTCAGAGAATAGAGGTGAGTAGGTATGGGCTCTAACCAGGGAAGTTAAAGTGTAGGCCTGCCCAGGAGGTGGAAAGTAGCTGCTCTGGGAACAAGGTAGTCACTTAGACTTTAGGAAGAGGGTGTGGCCCAGATCTTTTTTTTTACCCTCCTTTGGGAGGCAATTATGATGGAAATAGTTGAGAATTAGACAAACTTGGGTTTGAATCCCATCTCAACTATAATTGTGTGGAAACTACTAAGCTTCAATTTTCTCTTCTGTAAAATGGGAATTATTATGTCTACTTGAAAGTGTCATAGTGGATGCCTATTGTGTAAATGGTCACTAATAAATAGCATTGTTTTGATAGACCAAGAGACCCATTTGGGACCAGAGTCAGTAAAAGGGCTCTTACTGAAAGCTTTCCCTGGATCTGGAGAGGCAGACTACACCACCTCATGCTGGCTGAGCCCACCCCTCTACTAGCTAACCAATAGCCATAGCTAGAGGGCTCATCTGAGAGAGCTTCCTTCAACTTTCTTTTTATTCTAGATTTTCTATTCCTTCTCCAGCTTCATCTTCCAAGTCTCTCCATTAATCACGCTAGAAAAGAAGTCTGGAATGAGCTTTTCCACCTCTGTTTTCTTGCTGCCTTTGTCAGAGTTATGGGCCACAATATTAAACCTTGTTTTGACATAGGACAAGTCAGTCCTAGGAATCTTAGATGTGCTCTCAGTAAATGTTTTCTGTGGTATTTGAAATCAAGTCAAATATACAACATTCTCTCATTATATTCTTAACTGAACAAGAAAATTTTTCAAAAGTTGGGATTCCTGATCCTATCTTAATTTCGTTATTTATTCTCTTAAGTAATCTTAAGTAAGAAATTTCATTTTTCTGGGTATCACTTTCCTTATTTTTAAAAATTAAGATGGCCCTGCCTACTTTGGTAAGTTGGTATGAGGTTCAGTGAGATATGATATATAAAAAGTGCTTTGTAAAAAATGTGAAGGGGGTGAGGTGAGGCATTAATACAAGATTTCATGAGATACCTGCAGAATTTCTCCATAGTTGATCAAATTGAATTGTCTATGGAGGAAGTGTTGGCAAGCATTGCCCTGGTTATATGGAGATTGGGAAGGAGTTAAGATCTTCTCTGAGATACACAATTATAAAATAAATGAAATCATGAGTAAAGGGGCCTGATACTTAAAGTAAGATTCCATATAACCTAAAGTAAAAGCCAAAACTATATAGCTCTTAGAATAAAAGCAAAAAAAAAAAAATTCTTTATGATCTTGGGTTAGATAAAGATATCTTAGGATACAAAAAGTTTTAACCCTAAAAGAAAAAAACTGAAAAATTGAGCTTTATAAGAATTAAAAACTTCTAACAATTAAAAAAAATGCCATTAAGAAAACAAACAGCGGCTGGGTTTGTAGCTCAGTGGTAGAGTGCTTGCCTAGCACGTGTGAGGCACTGGGTTCGATTCTCAGCACCACATAAAAATAAATAAAAGAAAGGTATCATGTCCATCTATATCTAAAAAGAAAGAAAATAAACAGTTTTCCACCACAGATGCAAAACAAGGGTCCTCGGGCTGTGGAAGCTGAGATTGAAAAGAGAAATAAGGGTGGGGAAGGACTCAGACACACAAACAAGCCATAGACTGAGAAGAAATATTCACAAGACATGTATCTGCAGAAGACATGTATCCAAAATAAATTTGAAAATTCCTACAACTCAATAAAGAAAAGACAACTCAATTTTTGAAAAATGAGTAAAATAGTCCTCAGATAATCAAGTACCTACCAGATTTCAAACACTGTAATAAGTTCTAGGGACAGAGTTGATTGTGTTAGTCTCTAACCTCTGACCTGCATTCTAAACTGGGAGACAGAAACAAAACAAAACAGTCAGTGCCCTCCAGCCAAGGGCTCCTATGCTACCTTCCATATATATTTGTTCTTATCCCTGGTTTAGAGGACCAGTGTTCTAGAATGTATCTGTGCATCAGTGTTTTGCCATATGAATACATGCATGTGCTGGTGGTGATTGTTCTAGGGAAAGAATCATAAACTCTTGTATACTTGTGAATAGTTCTTGAAAATGTTACTTTTAAAAAGGGGAAGTACCCATTAAAAATCATTTGTGGCTATAACCCATAGGTGCTCTTAAAATTATGTATGTGTATAAGAAATTTCTCCACACTCCTTTTAGTCCAGGCCTTGGAATTATGGCCTGGACCTTAGGGGAAAATCTAGCACTATATGTAGGGAAAAATCTCCCTTTTAAAAAAAAAAATAATAATAATCCTTAAATTGTGTTCATAATGGGTATTTATTAGAATATACAGATGAATCAAAAAGAATTTAAAATAATTCAGAATCATTCAATAGAGGTAGGAGCTATTAACATTTTGTTGCATATGTTTTAGATTTTCTTCCTTGCATATACACATATTTTTTTTAATGTGCCATACTATACATGCTGTTTGTAATCTGCTCTTTTCATATAATATAGATGTGAACACTTGCCAGACATGATGGCATGATGACAATGACATATGTCTGTAATCCCACTACTTGGGAAGTTGCAGAAGTATCATAAGTTCAGGGTTAGCCTGGGCAACTTATAGTGAGACCCTGTCTCATAAATAAATAAATAAATAAATAAATAAATAAATAAATAAATAAATAGTCAGATAGATAAAAGTAAGGCTGATCTAGTGGTGGAGAGCCCCTGGGTTCAGTCTCCAGTACCACATACACAAACTTAAAAATATTTTGTGGGGCTGGGGTTATAGCTCAGTGGTAGAGCACTTGCCTAGCATGTATAAGGTTGGATCCTCACCACCACAAAAAATAAATAAATAAGCTGGACACAGTGGTGCACACCTGTAATCCCAGGAGCTGTGGAGGCTGAGGCAGAAGGATTGTGAGTTCAGAGCCAGCCTCAGCAAAACAGGGTGCTAAGCAACTCAGTAAGACCCTGTCTCTAAATAAAATAGAAAATAGAGATGGGGGTGTGGCTCAGTGGTCAAGTGCCCCTGAGGTACCCAAATAAATAAATAAAATGAAGGAATTATGTCTATCTATAACTAAAAATTTTAAAAACATTTTGTAAACATCTTTCCGAGTCAGTAATCATATTAACACAACATCATTGTTATTATTTATTTCAAACAGGGCCTCACTGTGTTGCCTAAACTGGTCTTGAACTCCTGGGCTCAAGTGATTTTCCTGCCTCATCCTCTCAAGTAGCTGGGACTATAGGTGTGTGCCACCATGCCCAGCTAAATAGTGCATTATTTTATTTCATTTTTTAAATTTAATTTTGTGTTGAGGATTGAACCAAGGGGTGCTTTACCACTGAGCTACACCCTTAGTTATTTTTTATTTTGAGGCAGGGTCTCCCTAAATTGCTGAGACTGTCCTTGTATTTGTGATCCTCCTGCCTCAGCCTCCCAAGTAACTGGGATTACAGGTGTGCTCCACCACACCCCACTTAGTGTAATATTTTTAAGATTCATTTATATTGTAGCTTGTATCAAGACTTTGTTCCTTTTATCACCAAATAATATTTCCTTGCATGTACATATCACATTTTGTATATCTATCAGTTTTTGGATATTTGGATTGTTTCCACTTGAATAATGCTGCTTTGAATGTTTGTATACAAGTTTGGAGGTAGAATTATTGGATCTTGTAACTCTGTTTTTAATATTTTGAAGGACTGCCAGGTCATTTTTCCAAAGTGGCTGCATCATTTTACAATGCCTTCAGCAATGTTTGAGAGTTCTGGTTTCTTCACGCCATCAACACTTGTTATTTTATTTTGTATTTTAGCTATCCCAGTGGAAGCGAAGTGGCACTACATTGTGGTTTTTATTTCTCTATTGACTAATACTGTGTGCCTTTAGTTACTTTTATGTCTTCTTTGAAGAAGTATCTGTTTAGATTCTTTGCTCATTTTTAAATTGTGTATCTTTGTTGATTGATTGATTGTGGCACTAGGGATCAAACCCAGAGCCTTGAATATGTTAGGCAAGTGCTTTACCAGTGAGCTACATTCTCTGTGTTATCTGTTGAGTTGTAAAAGTCCTTTATATATTTTGATAAGATATATAAGATATATCTTTTCAGGCTGGGGATATAGTTCAGTTAGTAGAGTGCTTGCCTTTCAAAGATATATATCTTATCAGATACATAATTCCCAAATATTTTCTCCCATATAATGAATTGGCTTTTCACTTTCTTGGTGGTATCCTTTGAAGCGCAAAGATGTTTAATTTTTGTGCAATCCACTTTATCTGTTTTTTTTCTTTTTATCACTTTTGCTTTTGGTGTCCTAAGAAACTATCGCCTAATTCAAAATAACAAATATTTACTGTATATCTTCTTTTGTAACTCATAATCTTGTAACTCAGTTTAGCTTCTCTGGTTTCTGCCTTCCTTTATCTCTACCTCATTACCCAAGTCAACACACAAGGGTTTAGAGTCCAACAGAGAAGACTTCCTCTCAGAAAAGGGAGGAAGAAGAATCTAAATACTTGCTTCTTAGTTTTAATATGATTTAATTTAACATAAATAATTATATTTTATTACAATTTTCCCTCACACATATATTTATTAGCCATTTGCATTTTTTCTTTAACAAGTATGACTTGTTCATGTCCCTGAGCATGTGTAACTTACTTGCTCTTTCCTGTACTTTTCATGAAGAGCTGTGGCCCTGCGTCAAAATGAGTTAGAAATCTTCAGAAATCCATATCAGGGGTTCAGTTAAATGATGAATAAAAGAAAGATAGTGGAGGATTTAGACTCAGAGTAAATAAAAAGAAAATGATCGAATAAAAAGGGAAAGAAAAGAAATGAATGGATCAGGGAAAATGATATATGAGGAGTCTAAGTGAAGAGAAGACTGTGGGGACCTGCACTTGGAGGTACAGAGACTGGAACTAGAGGAAGCCACTCTGCCATGGTACAGCCAAGAGACCAGAGAATCTCAGAATGGACTCTGTGTCCTTGGAGCCAGGCAACCTTGAACAAGAGAGAACTTCAAGGTATCAGAGGTGAACTTGGAAAGAAAGACTTTCTAGGGAATTCTAGTAGTGAAAGTTCTGGGCTCAAACTTAGCAGAATTTGGATGGTTCAGGAGGTCTGTACCCTTAGACAAATATCATAAATATATTAGGCCCATCATGTGTGCCAAGCCTTGTGTAATGGTATGATAGAGTGAAACAAAAGAGATAAAAATAGTCCCCACCCCCATGGAGGAGGGGAGAGGAGGGAAGAGGCCATCAACCATACTTGCAGTCGCCCTAATGTCCACTTCAGCTTACACTCAAGAAGCTCCAGTATAATAGTGTGAATATTAGAATTCATAGTCATTAGAAAGGAGAAGGACAAGTATTCTGGGATTCTTAGGAGGAGAAGTGGGTCAGAGGTGACAGCCACTTGGTCAAATAATATAGTATATTTAAAAATACATTTCTTGCTGGGCATGGTGGCACATGCCTATAATCCCAGCTATTCAGGAAGCTGAGGGAGTTGAATCTCAAGCTGACTTCCTTATATATAAGGGCAGCCTGTGAAAGGGCTCTGGGTATAGCTTAGTGGTGGAATGCCAATGGGTTCAATACTCAGTCTACAAAATAAATATATTCATTTCTTACAAATTTATAGCTATGACTATATAATGTATTGGTCTTGATTTCTCCACCTGTCCATAAACTTGAATGCTGAGCTCTGTGAGAGGCATATCTGTATCCCCTCTGTGTCTTGGACCTTTTCAGACATCCTAAATGGTTTTCCCTTAATTATGTCACTATGCAGAATTAGTCATTGTTTACTGTTCAGAACGAGGTCCTTGCAAGAGAAGGGGAAAGAGCTGTCCCTGAGATCCCCAGATCTTTATATGTGGTCTTTTGTCACAATTGGATGCATGGTGACCTTAAAATGAAGAGGGACCCTAGGACCTGGATCTGTGCAATGCAGAAAGTATGATGGGGTCCCCACCTGCCTTATCAGGCTGTGCTATCAAGGCTTCATCTTGACCCAGAGCCTTTTTTCCTCCTGGACTCTTCTCCACTGAAAATACTGTTGGGAAGGGCTGTCCCTGACTTCCAGGGAGGTGACATTAGGTTCCCTTTCTTTCCCTCTCTCTCCAGGTGCCAAGCTCTCCTGATGAAATGTGTTCTGCCCCACTGGGCTCCAGGGGCAGTGTCTGGTGCTGTTGATGCCCTTGTTCGAACTTTCCAGAATGGATAGTCCCCCAAAGCTGACTGGAGAGACCCTCATCGTGCACCATATTCCCCTAGTGCACTGTCAAGTTCCAGACAGGCAGTGCTGTGGAGGGGCAAGTGGAAATAGTGGAAGCACAAGACCTAATCCTTTCTGCCCACCCGAGCTGGGCATCACCCAGCCTGACCAAGACTTGGGACAAGCTGACTCCCTTCTATACAACAACCTGCAGTCTACTCCAGGGGCATCTACACGGTCAGCAGATAGCACCAAAAGTAGAGGACGGGATGGAAGAGGCTCTGGGGTCCCCAAACGACACAATCCCTTCTTGCTGCAGGAGGGTGTGAGTGAGCCGGGACTTGGGGACCTGTATGATGACAGCATTGGTGACAGTGCCACCCAGCAGTCCTTCCACCTGCACAGCACCAGCCAGCCCACCTTCCATCTATCTTCTTTCCAATTACCACCCTCTGGCCCTGGAGGGGGCAGGCCATGGGGAACAACACGCAGTCGGGCTGGAGTGGTGGAGGGACAAGAACAGGAGCCAGTGACCACCTTGGGTACTCAGCAGTGCAGCACTAGCCACTGCTGCCGGCCAGAGCTCGAAACAGAGACCATGGAGCTGGATGAGTGTGGGGGACATGGTGGAAGTGGCAGTGGAGAGGGAGCCAGTGACACCTCTGGCTTTTCCTTTGACCAGGAATGGAAACTTAGTTCAGATGAATCCCCAAGGAACCCTGGACGCTCTGGCTCAGGAGCTCAGCACTGCCGCTGCAGTAGCACATCCAGTCAGTCTGAGGCAGCTGACCAGTCCATGGGCTATGTCAGTGACTCCTCCTGCAACAGTTCAGATGGTGTGCTGGTCACCTTCAGCGCCCTCTACAATAAGATGCATGGCAACTCCCGTGCCAATCTCAACTCAGCCCCACAGTCCTGCAGCGACTCTTCCTTTTGCAGCCACTCAGACCCTGGCGCCTTCTACCTGGACCTGCATCCCTCCCCAGCTGAGTCTAAGATGTCTTGTGAGTCCCACCACCCTGAAAGTGGAGGAAGGGAAGTGGGCTGTGGTTGTCCTCACACCTCATCTCCTGAGCTTGATGCCAACTGTAACTCCTACCGCCCACACTGTGAGCCCTGCCCAGCGGTGGCTGACCTCACAGCCTGCTTCCAGAGCCAGGCCCGTCTTGTTGTGGCCACACAAAATTACTATAAACTCGTCACCTGTGACCTGTCCTCCCAATCATCCCCAAGCCCAGCTGGCTCTTCTATTACTAGCTGCTCTGAGGAACACACCAAGATAAGTCCCCCACCAGGCCCTGGCCCAGACCCAGGCCCCAGCCAGCCTTCTGAGTATTACCTCTTCCAGAAGCCAGAAGCTCAGCCAGAGGAACAAGAGACAGTGGGCTCCTCCACAGAAGCAGTAGCTGCCATGGGCCCCACTGTGCTCGAGGGGCAAGTGTACACCAATACTTCACCCCCCAACCTCAGCACTGGACGTCAGCGCTCTCGAAGCTACGACCGCAGTCTTGAGCGCAGCCCTCCTGTCCGCCTGGGCTCACTGGAACGCATGTTGAGTTGCCCAGTACGTTTGAGTGAGGGATCTGCAGCCCTGGCTGGGTCCAGCTCCCCACCCAAGAGGGTCACCTCCTTTGCTGAGCTAGCCAAGGGCCGGAAGAAAACTGCAAGCTCTGGGTCCCCACCACTTCGGGTGAGCGTTGGGGACTCCTCCCAGGAGTTCTCACCCATCCAAGAAGCCCAGCAAGATAAGGTGGACCCACTGGATGAGGGCTCTCGCTGTAGCCATAGCCTTCCACCCATGCCCTTGGGGCCAGGCCTAGACCTACTTGGCCCAGAGCCCTGGTCCACTCAGGTCTGTCAGGGCCCCCAGTCCAGTGAGACTCCACCAGCTGGCCTCAGAGCTACTGGGCAGGTTCCCCTGGCCCCACTGATGGATCCAGGGTCTGCTCTCCCTGGAAGCCCTGCCAACAGCCATACCCAGAGGGATGCAAGAGTTAGAGCTGACGGTAAGGAACTCAGAGGCTGAAGAATACCAAGATATATGCATGACCTCCTTTGTGATAGGTCCCCAACAACCACCCCATCCATACCATGACGGATTCCTCTGGCTAGATCTATTATCTTTCCAGTTCTGGGCAATGTCCTTCTGCCCTGGAGGGGGCAGCAGGGGTGGGGAGCAGAGGGAAGAAGAGAGAGGCTTAAAAAATACACTGGAGGGCTGGGATATAGCTCAGTTTGTAGAGTGCTTGCCTTGCATGCACAAGCCCTGGGTTCAATCCCCAGCACCACCAAAAAAGAAAAAGAAAAGGCCTTTATAACAAATTCGAATAAAAAAGTTAAAAAAAAAACACACACACACACACTGAAGAGATGGAATCTACAGGACTTAGATACTGATGTATTAGGAAACAAAATATTCATAAGATTGTGTTTCTCAACCCAGATGACTGGAAAGATGATGGTACCCTGAATAGGGATTAGAAACAGAAGTAGATTTTTAAAAAAATATATTTTTTCTTAAGTTTTAGGTGGACACAATATCTTTATTTTACATTTATTTGGTGCTGAGGATCAAACCCAGTGCCTCATGCATGCTAGGTGAGCACTCTACCACTAAGCCACACCCCAGCCCAGAAACAGAAGTAGAATTATTGAAAAAAAAGGACAAAGGAGTTGTTCAATTTTGGATATTTAGGAATTTGCAGTGCTTAAGAGACAACCAAAGGCTGTGTCCAACAGGAAAACCGCACTGGATAGCAGTGGAGTCCATTCTTTATCAATTATTAGAGCTACCCTAAGAACTTGAAACTTAAGCTAGGGACCAGGGCACGCACCTGTAGTCCCAGCCACTTGGTACATTTATGCAGGAAAGTTGCTTGAGCCCAAGAGTTAGGCAATATAGTGAGACCCTGTTTCTAAAAGTAAAAATTAAAAAAGAGAAAGAACCTGTGACCTAGCTTCCCTAGGCCAGCCTTTTCCCTATTCATTTTATTGTATTTTAAGTATTATTATTTTATATAAGCCTTTGTGTTAAGGTGGTGCTGGTGACAAAAATAATGAGAAGGACAATCTGCCCTCAAGGAAATCCAACTAAGGAAGGAAACAGATCATTCAAATGCAAAGATGGCAGTATATGCTGCTGGCCAGAGAAAGGATTATCTAAATCAGAATGGAATGTCAGGGGAGGATGGCTAGCACAGTTTACATTTGAGCCCAATCTAGAAAAATGATGAGCATTAGGTTTTGTGGAGACTTTTAAGAATGTTCTGGGCTCATGGAATAGTCTGTACAAAACTACAAAGGCACAGAATAGCTTGATGTGTCCCAGGAATTGCAAGTACAGTAGTAATTCAGTATAGCCATTGTAGGATGGGAATGGAAGCACTAAAGGATTTTAATCAGGGAAGTAGCTTTGTTACTGCTCTTAATGTTTGTTGTTGTTTGCTTAGATCCAAGTCTAATTTTAAAGTTCACTGGTGGTTTGGATGGGCAATGGACTGAAAGGGTGTCTCTATGGAAATCAGGAGAGACCACCATATAGATTGGAAAGTTTGTGGAATAAAAATAGTTGAAGCTATGTGAGTAAATAAGAGCATCCAGGAAGAATATGTGGAGTTACAAAGCCAATGAGGATAAAGGTCTGGGGACACTATGATTTAAGGGTGAATAGAGCAACCTTCAAAAGAGATTGATATTGGGCTGGGGATTAACTCAGTTGGTAGAGTGCTTGCCTCGCATGTACAAGGCCCTGGGTTCAATTCCCCAGCACCACAAAAAAAAAAAAAAGATTGAGGTGAAGCCAGGTGTATGGTGGTGCATACCTATAAACCCAGTGATTCAGGAGTCAGAGGCAGGAGGATTGCAAGTTTGAAGCCAGTCTCAGCAATGTAGCCAGACCCTCAAGAACTTAGTAATATAACAAAATTTTAAAAATTAAATAAAAAGTTCTAGAGGTCTATTCAGTGGTAGAGGACCCTGGGTTCAATCCCTAGTGCTGGAAGGGCAGGGCTGACTTAAGATGACTTTGCCAGAAAATAGAAGAAAACCTATAAGAGAGTGAAAAAGAAAAATCACCGCATGATAATGGGGACAGATCTTGAGAGCAACTGTAGGAGTACTGAGGGCAGAAGCCAGATCTCAGAGAGCTTGGAAGGAGAGGGGGGAATACAAAGGGAACAAGTTCTCCCACAGCCGCACTGCAGCCTTAGGTTGGGTCTTTTGGCTTCTCAAAGGAAAGGGGTTAAAAGTATTGGGCTGGGAGTGTGGCTCAGTGGTAGAGCAGCTGCCTAGCATGCGTGAGGCCCTGGGTTTGATCCCCAGCACTACAAAAAAAAGAAGAGTGTTTTCAAAAAAGTCACCTGTGCTCTTGGGGATCTTAGCCCATCAGAAGACTGCACACACCCAAACATACATAAACAGCTGCCCTGGGGCAGAGTTGACAAGGAGGTCTGTAGGGAAGAGGCAGGTTCAGGGATTGGCCAGAGAGAGCAATTTGGAACCCACTTTTTCTTAAGACTACAATGTCTGGGGTGTATCTAGTGAGATGCTGTGGCTGGCATTCCATGAGCATGAAAAGTCTGGTCAGAAAAGAGAGGCATTCAAAATTTGTTTCTATCAGTGAGTTATGGTTCTCTTCTATAAGTCTCCAGTAAGTGGGCTAGATGATGGTACCCTGAATAGGGATTAGAAACAGAAGTAGAATTATTGAAAAAAAAGGAC